TTAAATGTTCTTTTGCTAGTTATATTCGAGATGGGTCATTCTACTCTATTCTATTAGCTCCTAGATCCAATTATCAAACTACAACCATTTAATCCTCCCACTACCGAAAAAAGTTACTGTAATTATTACTTGAATTTCAATCAACCAGTCAAACTTCAGAACTTACTGCTAGTTGGTTTGGGATTCATTATCCATGCAAACCAGGAGAAGAGCAAAAGAACGGGGGAAGAAGAGAACAGGTGATAGAGAGAGAAAGAGGAATTAGCTGAGTTTTGATAAAAAGACCAAAAGTGCCTTTGTAGTTAATGAATAGATAACATGAAAGTAAGGGTTAATTTGGAGAAAGAGAAAATGGGTATATATATATATGTATTATTGATTGGTGGAGTTTCTTCTCTATATTGACTTAAAATTATAAAATTACTGAAATTCTTTTTCGGACATGGAATGAAAATCTAAGTCTGTAAGTTTGGAAATTACTATAATACATGATCAATAGCTGTTTTCGTGTCAGATGCTTTAAGTTCTTTTGGTAAATTTCTGAATATGTTCAGCTTAGAAAGTGCTATCCTTGTGCAATTGAGTTAGCTTGTTTATGAAAAAAGACAAAAAAAAGGGGTGGGGGTGGGGGGGATGATATCTGCTGATAATTTCTTTGATTGAACGCCTTTGTGGAGATGCTGATGCGTGCAAATCTCACTATTTTTTTGAGAGTGACCATATATTTTCTCTGTGGAACAGCAAATGCAGGCTCTGTTTAGGATTGGAAAGGGGGAACCTCCACCTGTCCCTAATACTCTCTCAATAGATGCACGAAATTTTATTAACCAGTGTCTTCAAGTGGATCCAAGTGCTCGTCCAACTGCTTCTCAGCTCTTGGAGCATCCTTTTGTAAAACGAACACTTCCCTCTTCCTCAGGCTCAGCTTCTCCTCACAATCTAGGCAAGAGGCTTTGAAACCTTGTTGTAAGTGCCAAATTTCCCTTTGTTATCTATTTTTGCTAGTGATAGTCAGTTGCTCTACTGTAGCGTTAGAATTTCAAAATGCTACCATGTTTACCTTATTTCCTGCCATTGCTTCAGTTGAGTTAGCAAAAGTTTCTACCATTTAATTTTAGAACTCAGTTTTGGTTAATCAGCACAATCATTTTATGAGTACTTCTGTTTTAGTCACTTGAGTCATCAGTGTATCACAAAATGATTGGCAATGTGAAAGAAGAAAGAGATGTGTTATAGAAATAGAATTTCCGCCCGTGTCAAAATACATAAGAAGTTTACGGTTTTTAAGGATAAAATCAACTGGTCTTCAGATTCTAGAGATCGATAAAAAACTTACGGAATTGGAAAGTATTAAAAAAAACTGAATTACTAATTCAAAGTGGAGAACTAAAATGCTCAAGTATTTTCTGAGAGAATCACAGTATACTGCTATATAGGTGAGACATTTTGGTTTTGGGGGGAAGGAGCTAAATAGGTTTCTTATTAATGAAAATGCTGCTTTGGAAATGAAAAGAAGAATATATATTATCACAGTCGCCTGAGATTTATACAGGCCTTTTTACGAGGGCCTGTAACCCAGTGGATGCTTTAATTGATGGAACATTGGGCTAATCCAGTTGGTAGGGCTATGATTGGTACTGGTTCCCCCTGTCCAAGCATTGAGTGGGGCCATGTGGTCTGTGCGATATGACCAGTTTCGTGGGCTTTAGAGAGGAGGGTAATGCGTCAGGCTGGTTTCCCAAACCTCTGGGATTTAGCCCCTTTATTGGAAAGAACCTCTGATTTTAGCCTTTCATTTTGCTGACTCCTACGAGAATTATCTTTCTTTTCGCATTCTTCATAGATGTTTTGTAGTTTAACTTGTTACTTTCTCAACTGCACTAGTTCATACTTCAAGTGGCATATATGATAACGATGCTGCTTTGGTAGGGATATAGAACTTCTTGCCTGTCTTATCAGGGCAGGTTCTTGTCATAGTCTTTTAGTACCACGCACCTCTCTGCTATGCATCCTTGGATTGACTGTGATGTTTTATTACAATCGACATTGTCTCGCTAGACTTAGTTTTATTAGTAGATCTAAGGTATATTTTATGTAATTTCACCTGCAGCTCTTTTCTTCCCATTGGATCCTCAAAGTTTTGGTGGAAGTAATCTGGATGCTTTTCTCAGAATCTGTATTTGAACATTGAGTTCAGGTATTGATCCTTTGAGAGCGCATCGAGAGCAGTTCCTACTCGTGGTCAATGCCTTTGCTGCAGTGTATATTTGAGCCCCCTCCTCCCTTCTTTCCGCTTTCTTGACCTCTCTCTCCCACCCCATCACGGATGGAAAGAAGAGGTCAGGTACTGTGGTGTATATGTAGTTCAATTCGCTGTTAGAGTGTTTGAGCCAATACGGGATGTAAAGATAGATAACCCATTTGAAATGTATATATCACTAGAAGAGGTCCAGGTGTTGCTTTCTTCATCCTTTTCCATATTTTTTCCTTTTCTTTTCAGTTGTTTGTTATGTTGTGTAGGGAAACGTAATGTATAACTTTGCATTTCAGTTCTCTTATCGAGCTGTGGGCCAACAGTAAAAGAAACTGTGTACTACGGTCTTACAATTATGTGGAAGACCGCTTGAATTGTGAGAAAAATGGGCATTCAATCTAACCTAACCCGAAAAGTTAGTTCCGAAGGTAAGGATTGTCCAAACTATCAAGCAAGTGATAACACATTTCTTTAACCAATGTGAGATTTTAAAACTGTCTTGACATGTATATCGTGAACAATATAGTATGCAGGTACAATATTGGGTAACCAAGAATAGGGATGAATCGGGCTTTGATACTATATAAAAAGAAAATAAATGCGGGTTTAATTCAATTCTAAAAGTTAGCTCATTAGGTGTGGATTGCTGAAGATCATATGAGAAGACAATAATACACTTCCTTGACAAATGTGTGATTTCCATGAAAGAAAGAAAAATAAATGTGCGGTTTCAACTTAGTATGTTATGTATAGTTGGTTGAAGAAAGAATGCGACAGTTCTTTAATACTCCATTGAATAGCCTTTCCGTAGTTAGCAGAAGAATGTAGTTCTAAATCACTTACGGGTCGTTTGGTATGAGGTATAAGAAGGTATAGGGGTGTATAAAAATTTAATACCACCTTAATACTCTGTTTGGTTAGCTAACTAGGTATAAGTTATTTCGGTGTTAATTTTAATATCGGGATAACTTAAATCTTATAGAGGGTGGGATAATTAGTACCGGTATAACTTATACCTTCTTCTTATAAATTATACAATTGTCATTCTTAATACAACATACCAAACAGTGAATAAACAACAATCCCAGCATAACTTATCCAACATAACTTATACCGCCATAACTTATACCGGCATAAGCCTTATTCCAACCAAACGACCCCTTATTAGTTATTTTGAGAGGTTGGTGAATGAACTTGAGAAAGGAAAACAGAAGAAAGAAAGAAAGAGGGAAGAACGGAGGAAGATTTCCGGGGGGACTTTAGAAATGATTTCTTAGGATAATCTTTTCAAATTAGTCAGCTAATCCAGTACCAAATTCCTTTATAGCTTTCTAAACTTTAGGAGAATTTGTGCTTTATCTGGGAAGGTGGATATAACAAAATTAAATTCATAAAAAATGACCCTAACCTTTGAAAATTGGGCAGAAAAGTTGTATTGGCACAGGGTGTCAATGGTTCGGTTCGGCCGATTGTTTTATAAATTCTGTACCATACCAATTTTTCGGCTATTTTATTATGTATAATCAAAATTAGGCTTTTCGAGACCGTCCCAATCATGTCAGTTTCTCTTCGGTATCGGTACGGTTTAGTAAATTTTCGGTAATTTTTTTAAAATGTCATGTAAAAGTCACTAGTAGAAGTAAAATGCAATAACATATGTACTTTTATAGGACTTAGCAAAATTCTCTAGATATTTTTACAGTTTAAAAGGTGATGAATTAAGAAAATATGAAAAATGACTAGAGTATAGATCCATCAAATATTCTACAGCAGCGTAAACGAAACTAAGCAAATACAAAGAAAATATAAATCACACGAATGGAAAGATATTAACCAAGTTGGGATTCAAGAATTCTATAGAAGATTAAACATTTCAAAAAGATAAATCTAATTCATACGAAAGGAAATATATACATTGTAGGTTGCTACTCCTAATCGCTACAATACTTTGTGTCTTACTAGTGAATATGCTAAAAATAATTACTTATTGGTTTGTAATTGTTTCATAATTCCAAGGCCCAAGAAAAAAATTTAATGCTTTATTATTTTTAAACTTACAACAACAACAAACAACATACCAGTATTACCCCACACCGTAGGGTTTGGGAAGGGTAGTGTGTATGCATACCTTACCCCTATCTTGTGAGAATAGAGAGGTTGTTTCCTAACATATAAATATATCTTTCACATTGTAAAATTATTCGGTACGGTTCGGTATTTTTTTGGTTTATTTTCATAAAATAAAAAACCTACCCTAATTATCGGTACTATTATAAATTTATATAAAAACATACGTAGGTTTTATTAAAAGAAACCTAAAAATCGGTTCGTTATAGTACAATTCGATCGGTATATCCATTGACACACTACTATTTAGTTATAAAGAAAACGATTCATTTCTCATTTTAAAATTAGTATTGTTTAATAGGGAAGCAGTGATGAGTAAATTACTAATATCTGAACTAGTGATATAAGGTTCATTATTGCGACTTGCGGGTGTTATCCGGTTCAAAATGTGGTATTTGAAAAAGACGATTATATCTAGGATGAGACATATTAACAGGATCAAATTGACATTAACAATTAAATCATTTTTTAGAAGCTATACACGTAATTAAATATCATTATTTTCGAAATTATCGATTAATTTAGAGGTACTCCGTAGTGAAAAAGTTACCGCGATAAAATAATGGCGTCACAATGTGATAAATATGACTCCACCATGTTGCATCCAAGGGAATCCCTCGAAGCAACCCGACCCGTAAAATCACTGTAAATTGGGCGCAAACGTAGCGAAACAGGAGAGAGACCAAGTGCTGGACGCAAACCCTCAAATCTTCCGGAAAGTTAGCGAAGAAAGTTTAAGAGGAGCCAGGAGAGTAGTAGGGTACACACTCTCTCTCTCTCTCCTCCATACTCATTTTTCTCTTTCCAATCATATTTTTGAATTCGACCGAAATACAAACGTAGAGAAACCTACAACTGTGTTACCCTCTCGTCGATTCAGGTACATTTATTAAAGATCCCTCTTTTCCTGATCCGTTTTTGTTACGACGTATCCATTTTCTAGATTTCAATTGCTTGATTTACTGCTCTACTTTGATGTAGTTGTGCAGATATTATGTATTTACTTACGTGTGGGCTGTTAATTTTGAGCTAACTGCTTTAGATTTTATGTATTAATTGCATTTATTAGGTTTGCTTTGTGTGTTAGTGTTTACAAATTGGGGGTTTGGGGGGTTGCCACTGTTCTATTAGTTGAAAAAATGATAGCCTACTTTTTCAATGGACCTGCAAAATACACGTTTTTATCCATATTCAAAGGAAAAGTACACCATGCATTTCGTGTTTAGAAACCACATGCGCTTTGCTAATTGTTCCATAACATATTCTAAATCTTTCAAGACGATGTGAAAGTTAGCAACAAGACGTGTTATGGATAACATTTACCTAAGAGTTCCAATTTGAATGGTTGAAATCAGGAAATGGGTCCCTTTTCTTGTTTGGAGATTTTCTAAGAGGTCCTTCTTGGCTTGTTTTTTTATTTGGAAATACCTTATTAGCTGTGTCTAACAGAAAGGGGAAAAAAGGTGACCCCCTTCAAAATTAGGGCGAATCTGGGAGTTAATTATACTTATTTGAAGCGACGAATAAATGATGTCGGGGGTTTAGATTGGTGCCTTGGTGTATAGGGTGATAAATGCTAATGTGATTAACTTTACTATTGAGGTATTATATTCTATTGTTCTGTTCAGTATGAGGATATCTTGTATAAATTGTTAACGGCCTAGTTAGAGGATAAAGAGCCTGGAACACAAATTGGAAGATCATTATTCTCCCAGTTGAATGACCTTTCTGCTCATATTTGAATTTCGTTCATGCACAAATAATGTTCTTTTCATATTTTTTCTATTGCAAAGTGCCAAAGTTGGGATATTGAAAGAGATTTTGATCCTTCGTGTTTTTTACAAGTTAAACAATCTTGGCTAGTTGATTGTTTTGCCCATTTTTTTTAACACAAATTATAGTTTATATTTAGTATACTCCTATGGAGGAGGGCATGGTTATAAAATTTCTGTTATCGGCTTGTTGGCAGTTCGCAGTTGGATTAGTATTTTGGATAATATGAAAGATGTTTTTGATAAAAAGGTAAAAGATTATATAAAAAATGTTGCAACCATATTTTTATTCCTTTCTCTGCCACCATGCTGTTAGAAGAGCCGCTAGGGGGGGGGGGGGGGGTTTGGTATCACTTTGCTCTCTGTTAATCGATGGTAGTTCAAAGGTATTAAAGAACTATAGTTTATAACTATGAAAAGTCTTGCTTATCGAACTGCGTAATATCCACAATCAATACTTCATAATATATAAAAGCATATCTGGCTTATGAAATAAGGTAAAAAAGGTTAAAAACCATATATAAAGCCATTAATTTGCTTGCATTATGCATTCACATACTTTTATTAAAGTAGGGTGAAAATCTTCCCTCTTGCCAATATTGTGTTAAAAAAAGACTTCTTTGATTAACCCTCAGCGATTGGCCTGGTGGCAATAGACTTGAGCCTTGGGGTTTGCTCCCTTTCAAGGTCTCAAGTTCGAAACCTACTGGGTGCAAACAATTTCTGAGGGCCATCGGACTGGGTAAAACCTGAATTAACCATGGTGCACATGCGGGAAACTCCTTGCCGAGGGCCTGTGCACCCCCGGGAATAGTCGGGCTCTTAGAGACTCGGACACCCGGTGCAAATCAAAAAAAAAAGACTTCTTTGATTAGGCACCCAAGGGTGTGACCTTAGTTGTCAATAATGTGGTGCAAACCTTGGATGTCAGTGTTCAATCCAACAGGAGATGAAAAAACACTGGATTTTTACCTTTCCGCCTTAGTTTTGTAGGAGAGAGTTACCCATTGGGAAGTAGCCCGTACCTCATGGGATAGTTGAGGTGCATGCAAGCTGGTTAGGATATCACCATTATAAGAAAAACTTCTTTGATCAGTATCTTTGTGTAATTAAACTTCCCTCCAACTTTAGCCTATAGGCATTCTCTCAATCCTTTTACAGAATTGACCAGTGATATTAGAAAGATGATGCCTATTTTGATCTCTAAATTATCTACTCTAATTCTCGTGTTATTTCTATTTTCTCAAAACCTCCACTCCTGTTTTCTTATCCTTTTTTTCTCTTTTCTTTTCACGTGGTTTGTGAACTTGAATTTATGTTATTGTTCTCAATCTTTCACTTGAATGTTTTACCTATTATTCTTTATAAAAAAGAAAATGCTTACTTATGGGTGCGGTATATTAGTCTAAAATCATTTGTGATTTAAATCTAGGCTCTTTATGAATTTTCCTCAAATATTGTGATGCACAATTGTTTTTTAATTTTAAGTGCACGAGATAATTTGAGTCCCCTCTCTTTTATTTCAATTTTGTAGGTTGAAGTGTAAGTTTTCATTGGCATTTAGAAAAATACTATTCTCTCCATCCCAATTTATGTGGCACTCTTTCCTTTTTAGTCAGTCCCAAAAAAAGTCACCTTTCTTTATTTAGAAATAATTTATCATTAGAATTCATACTTTACTTTTAATGAATTGATTTACATCCATACAAATATATGTGGTTTGTTCTAGACCACAAGTTTCAAAGGTGTTCTTTTCTTTCTTAAACTCTGTGCCGAGTCAAACACCACCACATAAATTGGGATGGAGTGAGTAATTAGGAGCATTTTTCTCTTTTTAAATTTTAACTTTTATTTTGTAGAGCTCTATCATTCTTCACTATTATCAATGGATGCATTTTATAACTATTTTCTTTTGACATTTTAAATAACCTTTTATTTGTTACATAGGTGAGTCAAATAACATAAATGAAAAAGAGAAGCTCAGATACATTATAGTACCAAAAAAAAAATCTAAAGAGGAAGTTGTTAATTAGAGGGCAAAATAGACATTGTATTTCTGAAATTGCCTCTCAGTGGTCTGAGGTGGAGTGGGAGAATATCTATTGTCTAAACTCGAAAGTCGGCAGGGAGAGTGATTTTTAACAAAATGCTGGAGGTGAACTATTTTCACCTGTTGAAGGCATAAACTTCTTGGTCCACTGGAGATGTTCTGAAACACCACTATGTGTTGGATGTTGGGTGTTTACGTGAGAGCACATATGTGGTCGTGCTGGTTCAGTAGATGTCTACTTCCTAAAAGTGGTTCGAAAAATGAGATATTGTAGAGCGAGGATGCCAATAATTCAGTTCTCATGTTATGTTTATCAGCATTGTGTTACTGAATACCTTTTTGGTGATTTAAGATTTTTTTTTAATCCTCTAGCTTTCTTTCATTAGGGCAGCAATTTTTCTGTTTTAAGAAAAACTTAAATGAGTACTTGTAAAAAATAGAAAGAACTAACAACATAAATGAAGGGGCCAAAGCTCTAAGCGCAGAGTTTTTGAAACATTGAAACCCTTGCACAATATCTTTTTCCTTCTTTCCAGTTTTTGTTTTAATAGTTTAAGTTGTTCTTTTAGCGAAATTACTAACATCCCCACCCTTTCGCATTGTTTCTTTGTTCCCTTTATTTTGGGGATGGGGACTGTATCTTCTTTACCAGAAAATGACAAAAACTAGCAAGGTGCGGCGGGTACCTGATTTGCTATCTTGCCGCTCAAAGGTGTGCAAAAAGATTCAAAAGGAGAAACGACCAAAATCATCAGAGAAGAAAGAATGGGAAGGGGCAACATGCTCAGTTTGCATGGAGCATCCTCACAATGCAGTGCTATTGCTGTGCTCTTCTTATGACAAGGGATGTCGTCCTTATATGTGTGCCACTAGCTGTCGTTTGTCAAATTGTCTTGAGCAGTACAAGAAAGCCTATGCTAAAGTCACTTCAGTTGAGGGCTCTGAACCAGGGTTGCTGTCAATTGATGATCCAAATTGCTCGTCAGGAGCAGGTTCTTGTGCTGGGAAGTCGGTAGTTGAACTTCTATGCCCACTCTGTCGTGGGCAGGTGAAGGGTTGGACTGTTGTTGAACCTGCACGCAAGCATCTAAATGCAAAGAAGAGAACATGCATGCATGAAAATTGCTCATTTGTTGGGACATACAAAAAGTTAAGGAAACATGTAAGGCGGGAGCATCCATCAGCACGCCCCCTCGAAGTAGACCCTTCACATGCAGAGAAATGGAAGAAGCTTGAACATGAGAGAGAGTTGAACGATGTATTTAGCACAATCAGATCCGCCATGCCTGGGGCAATTGTAATGGGAGATTATGTAATAGAGGGTAACTTTGGAGGCTTCCAGAGAAATTTTGGATTAGATGATCACCTCGGTGAGACTCTTTTTAGGTCGGAATCTAATGGTATTCACTGGAATGATATTGTCCACTCAGATGATGTTTTCGATGATGGCTATCATTCGTTTGATGAGGATGATTTTTTTGTTGATCATTCTGGCAGTGGGGCTACATCTAATGTTTTCAATAGAATTTCTCGACTTCGTAGCAGGCTCTTATTGGGAAGATCAAGGAGGCGGCAACGACATCGAGCCAGTAGCAGAATTCGTTGATTTATCAGGAAAGAAGTTTCATGAGCGGTTGGGATGATAACATGTGTTGATTAGATAATGACTTTCTTTGTCACAACACAGAGAAAAATGTGTCGGAAAATCCATGTTTGGATCCTAACCGTGGTTGTTGCAGTTTCAAGAGGATTGATGACGCTGTTTGCAGCAATTTGGAGTTCCTTTAGTTGCCTGTAAATTGGAACCAGATTGCATAGTAAAGTAAATTCAACCCTCCTCCCTACTGCTAGCTACTTAAATTTCATGAACCAGGACAATAGTTTCATAAATTTTGAGTTGACTTAAGAGAATTTTATTTTTTTCTCATTGAACGTACATCCTTCAGGAATGAAGGGTGCGGTGGTTAATTTCATAATCATGAACTGGTATTTGCTCGTGTTGTGTTTTGTTCTGTACTTTTGCTGATTCGTTTAAGAAGCTGATTTTAAAATACTTGTCCTTATGTTTTACCGGCTTGCATTGGCTACATGATTCGCATCTTTTGTTTGAATAGTTTGATTGCACTTTCCAGTATCACGTGGGCGGGCTTTATATTTTTTCCTTTTCTCTAATAATGACTCAAAATTAGGGTCCTCCTTTTTCCTTTCCTCTTTCTTTTTTTCTTATAATATCTCAAGACCTTGCTGTGATGTTGGTGAAAGGTGGCTTAATTGCCACCTCTACCTCTCATAAAATTTGAGCTTTTTAATAATGGATTATTATCCTTTTCCCTTTCCTTTTGTATTCTGACCAATCTATTTTATTTTTCGAATGAGTAAATTCTAAACATTTCTGAGAAGGTCCAACTGCGAGTGCATTAGTGCAATTTTTTTTTATTTCAAATCAAATGAGTTGATCTTTCTCTAATCGGTTCCATATATATTACTTATATGATTTGATTGTAGTGCAGGTATTAATATACTGGTTTGACTTGCAAACAAAACTTTGGTTTGGAACATTTGTCTGCCAATGCCTTTGTTTTTTGTAGATTCTCTTGCTGCTATATATTTATAGAGTCGCAACTACAAATTCACACACATATTTGTGAAAACATAGATATACAACTCTCATGGACATACAGTAGTGTTGGAATTTAAAAATGCCGACAAGGCTTTCCAGTAACATGCGGAGACGACGTTAATTTCTTGGAGCTTTATTGACATGTTAAAAAAAAAAGGACATGATGCTGTCAGATTCTGGCTTCCAATCTTACACTTTTTATAATGTAGTAATATATTCCAATTGGTCATCACGGTAACAAAAACGGTATATTAATTAGTTAAGTATATAGGAGGCAGATTGAAAAGAAAGATTAATGGATTATTAACTTTATTACATATTTATTTATTTATTATTTTATATGTATAAAAGGTTTAAAGTTTTGGTTTTGAAATATAAAGTGTGTATCTACAATTGAGTTATATAGGAGCCTTTAGAGTAATTTAATCTTTTTAATTGAAATATAAAGTGAGCACCTGCAAAGACTTCTTTTTTCGAGATAATAAAATGATGAAGGAGCAATTTCCGAATCTGATAACTAGACCAGCCACATTGTGTGGATGACAAACCTATAGCTACCTTCTATTTTTAACTCCATGTTTAAGTTTATGAATCTTAGCTCCCATTTGGCCATAGATTTTGGCAACTTTTTTTCAATTTTTTTTTGAAAACATTGTTTAGTTCACAGATTAATGATCTATTTTTGAAAAATTTCTGAAATTATTTTTTAATTTTCCAAAATCTAGTTTGGGGTAGTTTTTGGGTGAAACTTGTTCTCCCACTCACGAAACTTCAATTTTTTTTTTCAAATAAATGCATGTCCAAACATAATTTCAACTTCCAAAAATTAATTTTTAAAACTAATTTAAAAATTATTTTTTCAAGTTTCAACCAAATCTATGTCCAAACACTAGCTTAATACTTGGTTGTCTTTACCAACGAGCTATAGCTGAAAGTGAATTTGAAATTCATGCACAACCACAGTTTAACTGAATGAGAGATTACAATAGGAAAATTAAAAAAATTATTATTAGAAGAAACGAAACAATCAAATTAAGCTTCAATGCTTAATTATCCCTTTAATAATTTCATCGTCATGATTGCTTACTGAATTGCCAGGAACCTAAAATGTCCTTAAAGAAGCACTTCAGTCTATTCTGCATAACACAGCAGAAGAAAGTCACACACTAATCACAAATTAATTGACAAAGTAAATCATATTGTATAAAAGTGGATTTAAGTTATATACTCATTATAGAGATTAATAAGTAATTACTTTATAAATGGTTTGATCGTGTATAAAATGACCTACAGGAACAAGTAACTCTTTCAATCACACCTGATTTGGTAACCTGATAAATAGAGCCAAAATTTACTATAACCAATTAAATTACATTGATAGTGTAGAAAATCTATACGACAATATATAACACTTAAATCCCTATAATTGATATAGGGGATAAGAGCAAGACTCACGCAAATATGAGTTGTCTTCCTTTTTGCTCCTCCGAGCTTTCTCCATTTTAACCCATTTTGACAGCATGATTCTTCTCCATGTGTTCCAATGTGCTCATATCTCCATTCCTTATCTTTTCGATGGAACAAACGGGAAAATGACAATCTAATCCTTCTTGTCCATCTCCATTTCTGCACAAAGTGTTAATCCTATTAGCAAGAGACCACCATATACACTCAAACCTCGATCTCTTTAACATTCATTCTTTATAACATCATTTTACTATAATGACCAAGTTTATTATGGAACCGATTGTCATGTTATCTTTTATAACATCGCAGCCGAAAAATGTCAAAATAAACGACACTGTCATAAAGAGGTTTGAGTGTATACCAACTAGACGAAATAAGTTCACTAGATCCAAAGGCTTTGATTCAGTGGTAAGAGAACGAAAGCTTGGTACTATTTTAGTGGAGAAGGGAAAAAGGACATGCACTCTATCCATAGAGTTTCAAATCGTGCACCAGCTTGCCTTGAAGATTATTGGAAAAATGATACTGTATAACCGCCGTCAAATTAGCCAGAAAGAAAGAAAAAAGAAACAAGCATTTCAGCACCATTTTAATTAGATGAAATGCAATAAATACCTTGTGTTTTTGGTTTGATGAATTATTAGACTTCCACGAGAGATGTTGATAATTGGCATGCCTTAATGCATGAGCATAGTTCAGTAGTTGTGCTCGACGATCGTAGCTTCTCTTTCTTGAAGTGCTAGGCCTTGTTAAAAATGGCTTTGGATGAATTCTTTTCCAGGGATTAGATCTTTGTTTTGAATCTTTACTTGATAAAGATTCAACATAAACACTTATTATAACTCCGCCTTCCCTTTTCATTATTAAATCAAAGTGACAGCTTATTCTATCAAATGGCTTTAATTGGAATGATAATACAACATTTCACCAGCTAGTCTACCATTGTTACACATACCATATTGTGCTTGTAGGCTGCTCTTCTGATAAAGAAACTAGTTTTGCGAGGTTGCAGTTATGTTTTTTCAGGGTCTTTGGCCGATTAAAACTGAGAATTAGTTTGGGAACCAATTCCAATGTGGAAAACTTATATATATGACAACTTAGTGGCCACAATTTGATCCTTATATATATATATATATATATATATATATATATATATATATATATATATGACCTCCTAGCATATGCTGTCCAATTGGATCTTAAAGGACAGTCCGGTGCACAAAATATTTTGCGTTCATATTGAATCTGAAGAAGAGCGTACCCCAAGGGCTGTGATGTAGGCGGCCTAACCTGATAGAAATGTCTCTATAGGTCATACGCAGATAACTTACATTAATCAAGTATGGAAAGAAGAAACATATCCACTTCTCATATGATATTTTATTCTGCCGATATATTTTACGCTTTTACTTTGTGTTTCTAAAGGGATATAGAAAATACCACACCAACAGATCTAAAAGCATAATGGTGCTGGTTGTTTTGGTAATATGAAATCTTTTTTGCTCAAAAATGGAAAAAGATAACTATTTCTACTCTACAAAATTTTTTAGAGACATTATATTTATGGAATAAATTTTTTAGGGAAGTAAAATAATCGAACAATCTTAAAATTTTTAGCAGAAAAAAGAGATTATATGGCAAATAAATTGCTAAAGAAGTCATGCACTTTACCAAAGCAAGGTGGGGTAACAATTTATTCAAATCCAGTGTTTGCACCAAATCAATGAATATATGACACTTGTCATCACATATTTTTATTACTAAATCATAGTATAGCTAATGGAAAAATGCATAAGTACACCCCGACCTATACCCGGATTCCCAACTACACACTTTTTCTTTGCGGGAATCCTATTACCCCCCTAAACTTATTTTAAATGGAATTATTTGCACCCTTAACGCTGACGTGGCAGAGTGTGTGTATTTCACTCTCCCAAGGAAGAGTGAGAAGCAAGAAAAAACGATTTTCAGATTATTTTTATCTTTTTACCATTTTTTCTACTTTTTCCTTTCCTTTTCTTTGTCTTTTTTATTTACTTTTTTTTTTCGTTTCTTTTCTAATTCCGGCGGTTATTCATTCACCGGCGACTTTGTCTAACCGTTTTTCTTCCATTTTTTTTTCACACACAAATTAAATTCTCAAAAAGATCTATACATAAGCAAAGCAAAATACACTCAGATTTGGGGGGAAAAATTCATCGGAAAACCTTCCCACGCCGGAAAAAAAGTGATGTATTGAAATTTTACCAGGAAAAAGTTTTCTCAGCTTATATTCATTTTTATTTCTTTTGCTCTTCCTCCCACACATAAATTATACTTTCAAGAAAAATTTATATATATATAAACCAAAACACACTTAGATCGGGATAAAAATCTATTGCCGGAAAAAAAATTCGCTGGAAAAAATGGTGTTTGTGAAATTCCGACGACCACCATTTTATGCTGCCGGTAACCAAAAAAAAAAAAAAAAAAGAGAATGAAATAACCAAAAAAAATGAGATTAATAAGAAATAAGAAAAAAAGGATAAGAAAAAGAAGAAAGAATAAAAAAAGTACTAAAAATACATGTGAGGGCGCGTGTAGCTCACCAGTTGCCAAGAGTTTGGTTGTCAGCGTTAAGGGTGCAAATAATTACCTATAAATAAGTTTAAGGGGGTAATAGAATTCCCGCAAAGAAAAAGTGTGTAGTTGGGAATCCGAATATAAATCGGGGATACTTATACATTTTCCCTTAACTAAACATAGATGTTGAGACTGTATTTCCTCTTATCAAGGTTTCGGCAAGATACATGTCATCTCATTCATAGATAAATCATCTAACTGCCGAGATTGCCAGCTGCTGATGCAGAAATCAGGTTCTTTTGGTTCTGGGATATATGGGTACTGTATCATTGCTTTATATGAAAACTATGTCGGACATTGTTAGCTGATCACGCCCAACTTTAGTCCTAAAAAGGATAAGCGGTCGCTGCAAATATAATCCGGTCTAAAAATCCGGAGTCGAATCCCACAGAGAACTAAGGTTTCGCTGTAATTGTTCAATATCGCAAAGAAGACAAGTTTGAACAATTTCTAAATTATAAAAATTGAGATTTATATTTCTAACTAATTAACCAACAAATACTATAAAACGGTAAAATTATCAACTAACGAGACAAAGGTTTGGAGACTAAATTAAGGAGGTCTAGAGTTATGATTTCCCCAATTGTTGATTTCATTAGTTGTATGTTTCTCATAGCTTTGACTTAGTTGCCTCTATCAATCATGAACTCTCCAGCTATCATAAATCTCTCTCAAGCAATTATGATAATTTACTAGACGCACTCTCTCAAGCTACGCTAGCTAGATTCACATTACAGTTCACTTAGATTGCACCCGAGGTATCGTTATCTTTAATCCAACCTCTAAACCCTCGGTTATGACTCTCGTCTATACTCCGGGAGTGATGTTGTTCAAACAACTACCTAAATATGCACTCTCTCTCAAGCAGATACATAATAAATAGGAACGGCTAATTGAGGATCCTTTCAATTAACCAAAATCAAAACGTAGTTGAACAAATAGAGATTAACAACTAACTCAAAACTATTAATATAACAACCAATTCATCCCCAAAAGGTTCCATCAAAACCCTAGAAAACGAATTAGCTATTCATAATAGTATGTAAAACTACAATACTAAAAATCATAACCAACAATAAAAAATAGGAAGAGGAAGGAAAAACTCGTAGAAGAATTCTCCGCCTTGCTCCCAATGTGTTCTTGCCTCCTTAGGTCGAATCTAAGTCCAAAATATGTCCCCTTCTCTTCAAAATAAGTTTAGGACCCTTTTTATACAAGTTGGAATAGTGTAGGGCCGAAATAACCTTGTGCCGGACGAAATAGGACTTCTTTTTGACACCTGGAGCGGCGCGGCCGCGGCCAAAACGCGGTAGGACCGCGGCCAGACAAGCTCTCTGATTTTCTGCCGCGGTCAGTTCCGCAGTCTCGATCTCTACCGCGTTTTTCACCCCGTTTTGTTTAGAATTTGGAATAACGTAAAACATGAAAGTTGTAGCACTTTGAGTTAGCTTTCCAACCATATATTGTGGAGCCCAAATGGAGTTCTGAGAAAAAAGTTCTGTCTATTTTACTAGACAGTGCGCAATATGCCTCATCAAGTCTTCGTTTGTTCTCAACTATCAAATTTGACCCCCGAACACGATCCCGGCTTAATTCCTTGAGCTTTTACTCAGACTTCAAAGCTTCAAATTACTTAAATTCATTCCATAACATCTATATAGCTCGGAATCACTCCTACAAGGCATAAAACACACAATTAGTGCAAAACACTAGCGATTAAAGCGCAAACTCAACTAAAGTGCAGTAAATTAGAGTGTAATAACCGACTAAAATACGCAATTATAGCCTATCATCAACACCCCTCACTTACACCATTGCTCGTCCTTGAGCAATCAAACTACACTTTTTTTTATAGACACGACCTTTTTAAACAATTCTCCTAACGCAGCACACCAAGAGTATTTAAAATAGACAAAGCACAAAAGCGTAACATATTCACCTCAAGATTTGACTCACAAGTGCCACGCATTATTCACAACTCACCTACTTACTCTAACATAGAGGTCACTGACATTACCTTTCCTTCATGAATCAAGTGCCCTTATAACACAAGAGAGTAGTTCCACACAATAAAATTTAAGAACACTTAGGAACTCAAGATAGAAAGAATTCTCACTCACTCTCAGAAATAACATTCATATGCCACAAAAGATGCACCATAAGCTTGCCCGCAGTGTACTACTCCATTAATCAAGCTCATTCAATCTTGGATCAATTAGGACTTATTTGATTGTAATGTAGGCTACGGGACGGGTAGGATACATTTAGATATAAGAGTGACTACACCTCTCTAAGCACTTTAATACATACATTTTAACATTTAAACCCCATACTTATGTCAAACCAAAATTCCACCTTCACATCAATGTAAATTACCCCATTCTTCTTTAAGCACACTTATTTCAAGAATCACCACTTATCAAGGATTTTTTTTTTCAATTCAAGTGGCTTGTACTTTTTCAAAACAGTGCACCTTTCTCCTTATTTCATTAGTTCCACTCAAAAGCCAAACCAACCACCCCACACTTTAACTTTTACATAAATCATCACAATTCAAGTGCTCATGAGAGGTTACAATGGTTCAAATAGATGTTTAATTCAAACAAATGGGTAAGGCTTGTAATGTGGTTGCCAAAGAAACAGAATTACAGGCTCAAATGGGTTAACTACGATACATAATAATTAGGCGGGTAAAATATACTTATCTGGCTCAACAAAGAAATGCCTATATCACTTCCTAGACTGAACAAAACTACTATTTCGCTTTGCAAACACACGGGGCAAGTTCTAGGCATCAAATGCAATGCACAGAATAACACCAAACCTCACACACACATGACACATAACTCACCCAGGATTGGATTCATCAAGACACTCTAGTCAAAGTAGTTAAGCAAATTTAAAATCATACAATTTAAGGTACTTATACAAGAGTTAAAAACTGAGTCTAAGCGTCACAACCAAAGTACTCACTATTCTCAAGGCATAACAAAGTCAAGAGATATTGCTTCAATTCAAAACACAACACAATGGCTCCTATTCCTAAAAAAAACTAACTACACCTTTCAATTCAAGTGGCTTTTACTTTTTCAAAACAGTGCACCTTTCTCCTTATTTCATTAGTTCCACTCAAAAGCCAAACCAACCCCCCACACTTTAACTTTTACATAAATCATCACAATTCAAGTGATCATGAGAGGTTACAATGGTTCAAATAGATGTTTAATTCAAACAAATGGGTAAGGCTTGTAATGTTGTTGCCAAAGAAACAGAATTACAGGCTCAAATGGGTTAACTACGATACATAACAATTACGCGGGTAAAATATACTTATCTGGCTCAACAAAGAAATGCCTATATCACTTCCTAGACTGAACAAAACTACTATTTCGCTTTGCAAACACACGGGGCAAGTTC